TTTTTGTCCGACGCAGGCTTGTGGAAGCTACAGAGTGTTCGATATGGGGATATCGTTGACATTGTGCTCTCTCTTCTTGATGTTGGTGAAATAGACAAAAACGGAAAACAGAGGTTGCGGCGGCAGATCAAAGCGCGCGTCGATACTTTCGGGGGGGGGGGGGGGGGGGGGGGGTGGTGGGGGGGGGGGGGGGGGGGGGGGGGGCTCACATGATACGTGCCCAGCCATGTACATACGCTTAGTGGTCAACCGATTTTGCAATGTTGAGCTTAGTGTTTCAGAGTTTGGTCATATATACCGGCGGTGCGAATCGTGCGAAACTGGTAGCAGCCTCGTCCAAGCATCTGGTGTTGTCGCCGCATCCACTCGCGAGGCCCCGTTTGATTTGGCACGGGGGCTCACAGATCTTGAAGATTGGTCAATGAACGAGTTGAGAATTGCAGGCGTACACGTGGAGGACGAACTTGCTCGCAATAATCGTGACATAGCGTCCTTGAGAAAAAAACGCCAGATTGGAGAAATTGGCACGTGATATGAGCAATGCGTTGGTGGCTACTCAACAAGAGCTGCACAATCTCAGAGGCATGACAAAATTTCGCCAGGGGAAGCGCAAATGGATCAGCAAGTGGGGTGGGCACTGCTTGGCGCTAAAAAGATCGATGGGGCACGCTGAAGCCCAGACAGCTGCAGCCATGGTCGCGGGAGATGAGCACCAAGGCGCAGTTGATGCGGCACATAGTATTCTCAGTTACGAATACCGAGTTGCAGGTGCAAAGGTGGTGATATAAAAAAAACGATTACGCTTATCTCAACCTGGCTACAAACATCGAGGCCCACGAAATCAAGTCAGATGCAAGCCGGGACTTCACAGTGGAACGATGCAAGTTCCACGTTGCAATGATCAGCACGAGCGCTGTTGATGCGACCAGCGCGCACTTGGCTGCATCGAGTGGCGACGAGCATCTGGATGAAAGCTGGATCGCGTCGGTAATGGGCACGACAAAACTTGCCGCCGACCTTCAGACGGTGGAGACAGGTACCAGCGAGGAGCTTTACCGATTCACTTTGAAAGAACTGGCTTCGGTGGGGTGCCCATCGTGGGATGCCAGGGTGGCCGAGGCCAGAGCCCTACCTGGTGATGCACGTGCTGACGCGCATCGTACTTCAATGTATCTCTTTGGCCTTGGCAACGGCGGTGAGAACGTCGGATTCGCCACCAGGCTGAATAATCAGATCAAAGACGAGCGCTCCGTATGGTCCTGCGTCACATGGTGCATGCTACATCAAGGGCATCTTCTGACGAAGAACATCCTAAGCGTGTTCGACCTATGGGTATGGGAACATCCTCTCTCGGCAGTGCCACTGTCGGGCGCTGTCGAGCCACCTGGCGTGCGCTTGGGCGCCGAACCTGAAGAACCAGAATGGGAACCAAGAAAATTACCCACAACGTACATTAACGGCCTCTCCGCTTTTTCGAGCACGTGGAGAGCAACTGGCAATCCCAAGAAAATCATGGACGCTGCAACTGCAGTTCATAACGCAGAGGTGGCGCAGGAACATTTTACTCAGTTGCCAGGGCGCTGCATCAGGAGCAGGTGGCTGTCTGTGAGCAGCATCGAGAAAATCGTTGTGAAGGGCGCTGCGTTCTTTGGACCTGTGTTTTCATATGTATGGGGGCACTTGCCGCCGCCAGGCGCGCCAGGGGCTAGGGCGGCCAGGCCGTCTGCAGAGGGCGAGAGTCACGGGGGCAAGCCATCGAGCGGTAGGGCCAAGGGCAAGGGCCGAGGAACGCAGCATAATAAACAAAGGCAACTGCCCTGACGATAGAAGAGGACGTCGCGTTCCATGTGCAAAGCAGAAGGTGCCAAGTTCATCGGCCGTGCTTGTATTCGACGTTGTGAAACAGCCAGTGGTTCACTTCATGCCCTGGGCGCAGAAGGCCCGGAAAGAGCACCGTGGCAGGGCGCGAGACTTTGCGAGAGCTGGTGAGGGGTGCGCGGGACCGACGCCCATGAATTCGCTGGTGTGTGAGAAGCGCAAGCAAAGTGAAAACGAGATGAACGACTTGATTTCCGTGGACCCATCGTCGGAACAATCCCCTTTCCACAAAGCACTGGTGCTTCTCCCAAGTGAGTCTTACAGGGTGCAGCTCGTCAAGCTCATTATGCGTGCCTTGCTCGTGATGGCGTCGTCGTGGCAGACCAGATTTACCAAGCGAATGAATTCATCCCCGCTCATCCTTGTGAAGCTGATCGAGAAACCACCGCGCGTGCAAGACAGCGAGCGGGCTGATATCTGCAATCCGCTGATCCACATGGACGATGAGGAGCTGGCCGCAGAGTCAGCATACAGCGATACCCCAAGAAAGCTGAAGGAGCTATTTCCCGAAGAGCTCAGAACGGCAGCACTCGCTGGTTTCTTGCAGTTTTCGTTGTGGGTCGTTCTCGTGCTCTTTCGCGCCCGCCTTCCCATGGAGACTCAAGAGGTCGAGGGGTGGAACAGCGTCGTCCACGCGATGTCGAAGGCCGCGCCAGCAGCTCGGATGGCGTTAATCAGCGACAGGCTGAAAAACAAAGTTGGGAATCCAATATCTGTGGACGAGTGTGTCAGCCTGGACCACCTCACGAGAGCTGAAATGGCTCCCCCCGCGTTCGCTGGGAGGTTCGTTTGCCCGCCGATCAAAGACGCCCCAAAGGAGGCGAAGCCCACTGTGACGAAGCTGGTCATCAAAGAACTCGCCCAGCGATATGTGAGAAGCAGCAAGGCCCTGGACGGTTACGACGCGAGCTTGGGCAATGTCTGGTCGTTTGAGCCGCGTTTTGGCGGCAATTGCGCTTTCGCGATATGTTGGACGTATTCCCTGCGCCCGTTCATCGCCCATGGTACTTTGCAATGGGACGGTGGTGCTGTGAATTTCGCGTTGGTCAATCCTCTTAAGACAAGCATGCTGGTGACCACCGTTGCGGACGCACTGCGTCGCAGGCCCGATCCTATCTCCGAAGATCCATTGGGCATCGTTCGGTTCAGCATTGCTTGGGGCAGCTCTGTGCCAGATGTACGCCGAGATACAGCGACATATATTTCTGGCGTGCCTGCGCGCCCTGTGCGTCGGCGCGGAGAAGGCCGCGGCGGCGCTGGCGGCGCTGGCGCGCCGATGCCAATAGACGCGGGGCTCGACATTGACCTTAGCGCCGAGATGGGCCACCTGTTGGAGATGCACGGCGTTGATGAGGAGCTCATTGGTGCTGGCGTCTTCCGCGGTGATATCGGGCAGGGCCCGCGTGGGTCAATGGGCCGCTGCGGCTGCGGCGGCGCGGCGGCGTCGGAAGCGATGGCGCGGCAGTGGCTGGCAGTCGCGGCAGCCGCGCGTGCGCCCTCCTTCCCCCCAGCCGCCAGCGGAAGACGACGTCGACGCCGACCCCGGCGACGTCGACTCGGACGGCGTCCTCTTCGGCGGCGACGGGCGCGGCGCTGCGGCAGCTGCGCTCGGGCCCCCGCCCCCGCCGCCGCCAGCAGCTGCTCGGCGCAGACGTCGGAGCGCGCTTGCCCTCGACGATGCCAGCGCAGCATTGGCGGGGAGGGTCTCTGCCGCGCTCGCGGCAGGGGCAACCGCCGAGCGCGGCAGGCAGGGGGGCCTGGGGGCCAGACTGCGTCGAGAGCAAGAGCTCCGTATTCGGGACAAGGGTCGTTCGCTTCCTGCTCCTCCCCCGCTCGCCCATCTCCTCCTCGCCGCCCCCCGACCCGGCGCTCTCCTTTGCGAGCCTCTTGGGGAGGGGGAGTAGTGGGGGCGAGGGTATCAGCTTGGTCGCCAAGGCGGGGACTGGCGAGCTGCACTTTGTGCATTGGCGAACTGCTGATGACCGCGTGGGCAGGCGAATCAGCCTTGACGAGCACAACATGATTAAAAAAAACGATAGTGGCCTGCAGAGTAGACCTAGAGAGCTGGGCGCACGATCGCATTGTTATCCCCCGCACTGGTGGGTTGATGATACAGACGTGGTGCAAGGCGGCTCGCGACGAAATTCCAGGCTTCGCGATGTGTTGCCGCGCCTGCGAGCAACGTGGCGCGCCGCAACTTGAGAGCTTGAGCATGCGATCGGAATGCTGGATATGCAAGAAATGTGTCCTACCGCGGCGCGCTGAGTGCGCAAGCATGCTAATTTTCGATGGCGTCTGTGGCGGCGCGCAGGATCCATGCGCGTTTGGGGGCCATTACCCATTCTGCAGCGCTGACTAGGCGCCGAAATCCCCATGGCCGTTCGGCACCCGCTGGCGGCTACAGGAGCGCTGCGAGCAAGTGCTTACATATGAAACCATGCGTTGCGTTCTCTCTGGGAACATGTGTATGCTAGCTCCCGCCCAGGGGCTTGCATCCTTGCAAGGCTGAGTAGGTTAGCTCTGGGCAGCTGGAATCATGAGTAGGCTAGCCCTGTTAAGGGGTCGGCTGGAAGCATGGGCAGGCTAGCTCCCGCCAGCGCGCAACCTTGCATCATTGTAAACAAAAAGGTGGGTGCGCAACGAAAAACGCCGAACCGCAGTTAGCTGCAAAAGCACAGCACACAGCACATGCGAAACCTGCGTGCGAACTGCTGACACCCCCATGACATACCAATGGCGCGCTGGCAACCACACTGCAACACATCTAGAGGAGCATTGTTCCACGATCGTGGAAAACGCAGGGCTGCAAGGGGTCAGATTTCCACGATCGTGGAACAATGCTCTGTTGAGCCTGAGAAGGCGACCAGATTTCCACGAGCGCGGAAACATGACCTCTTCTGGGGGCTGGGTTTGCTCCCACAGCGTGTGCGCATGGCGTCGGCTGTCTGAGTTTTCCACAGCGGTTCGCGACGCGTTTCGGGCGTCGAGGAGATGAGTTCGCATTTGTGTTCAGCCCTGGACCAACTCTTTTGAAACAGCACTGGGCCGAATCTTTTGAAACGCCCCATCCCCCTCTTCCTCCTCCCCCGCCTCCTGCCGCCGCCCCCCCCCCAAGTCCGCCCCCTCCTCCTGGGCCAAATCCGCGCAACATCCCTTGGCCAAATCTTCTGAGACACCTCAGGGCCAAATCTTTTGAAACGCCTGCTCCCCCTCTTCCTCCGCCTCCGCCTCCTCCTGCTGCTGTCCTCCTCCTCCAATCCGCCACCGCCTCGTCCGCCCCCCCCCCCCCCCACCCCCCCCCCCCCCCCCTCCCCCTCGTCGCCGCAATGCCTCCCGCCCCATCCTCCTCCCCCCTGGACACCGTGAAGTCGTTCGCCTGAACATCTGTTGCCGTGCTTCAGGCGTCAGCATCTCCCCGCAGTCTTATCGCTCTTGTTTGTGCAACCCAGAAACCCTCTACAATTCAAGGCCATCGCCCCCCAGCCTCCTCCCCCCGCAGCCTGCAGCCGCTACGGCCCAAGCTTGCACCATTCACTGGTCTTCTTGTGAGCGTTTCTTCTGCGGGGCCAGCCCGGCTGCCCATGGCAGCGGCGGCCGCGCCGCGGCCGCCCAGCCTTCCTGATGCAGGTGCGATCGCCCCCGCCGCCCCCAGGGGGATTGCGCGCGACGGCTTGCGCGGCATCTACGCGAACATCGTGGACCGCGCCGGCCCTGGCTGCAGCGACATCGAGATCTTGAGTTTCATCGACAAGAAATGGCTCTTCTCAGCTGAATGGTTTCAGAAGGCACTTGCGCCAGCAGGGGGGGGTGCCATCAGCCGCCACCCGCAGAACAACCATGGGCGCGGAGACGCAGCGAGCATCACGGCTAAGCGCACATCGATGGAGACCATCGGGATTCGCGCCGAGCTCTCTTCGCCCCCATGGTTTGTGCAATCACCTGAAGGCGCTGACCCTGCCTGCGCCTTGGCCTTGCACTGGGGCACGCGCACCGAGGTCCTCAAGGAGGCGTGGTTGGCTGACAAGGAGGGCGAGAACGTCTGCGTGCAGACGTCCGTGACGATGACGCTGAAGGGCTGCCGCATGCACGTGAGGAACATCCCAGCTGACGCGGCGAAGTTCTTAGTCAACTGGGGGAACAGCACTAACGAGACCACCAGCATCGCGACGCCGCTGGACATGCTGATGTCGCTGGAGCCCGCGCCCGCCGCTGTCAGTCGGCACGCGAAAGCCATGCGGTGTACGGGGTGCATGAGCAATCAGCATGCTTCACATCATCACCATATGGGGGCAACGTGCGCATTGTGTTTGACGTTCCATCTGTTCAGTTGGTTTGTTTAAATGACTGTCCAAGCTTTCCTAGCGTTCGAAGTTTGTTTTGTTTCGGCGAGGCCTCGCAAGCCCAGCCTTCCATATTATAACCCTAAAGCGGTCGTCTGACTGGCCCCCGAAGCCCGAGCAGGAGGAGGCCAAGAGGTGCATCGCGAATGAGATGGCCAAGAACTACCAGTGGGCTACCTACACAAGCTTGGAGAGAGCTTTAACATTGTTCAAGCGGTCCCGCAAGACGCCCATCAACGCCAATGACCCAGACAGCAAGTCCGTGTGGGACGACATGGGGGACCTGTTCAAAGCAACCGTCGATTGGCCGCAGCTGCAGAGCAACTTGCACGACAACTTCTTCCACCTCAGCGCGAACGTCACCAAGCATCTGAAGGACAGCCACCCCGAGTGGATTGCGCCGATCATCATGATGGGATTGCCCCGCGGGGAGAAACCATGGGGCTCGTGCGCGCTCAGGCCGAAAGGCCTTCCTCTGCTCCGTTCGGCTACAGACCGGGCAACCAAGGATCTCGTGACCAACATGGATGCCAGCGAAGCGGTGAAGATGGATGCCAAAGAGGCCGCTGACGCCGCCAGCGGCCGCGGCTGCGGCAAGGGCGGCAAGGGGGCGAAGCCGAAGAACGGCTGCAAGACCAAGGGCCGCGGCCGTGGCAGTGGGGGAGGGGGGGGCAGTGGAGTCGGTGTTCCAAGATCAGCTGTTCCCAGGGTGGTCCAATCCCGATCTGCAGCTGCCAGCTCCACGGTCGCGCTGGCGGTGCCGATCGCCGATGCAGGTCCAGCCGGCGGCCCAGCGACGTCGCTCACCTTTCTTCAGCGCCTTGCCGCGGATAAGGAGATGATGCTCAGGATAGCGCCTGGGCAGCGAGGAGGACATCGACGCTTTCGAAAAACTAGCGTTGTTCGGAGTTCTCAGGAAAGGTGTCAAGCTCATTTTCAAGAACAGGGACACTGAGAAGAACATAGTTCAGTACAGCACGCTGAGGAAGCTGTTCAAGATGGTTTTCTACAAGAAGAAGGGCACTGGCACTGGTAGGACATTTGGGCCTCGGCCATCGGACCCCGACCGCGAGATGCTCATTGAGGGCAAGGCTTTGGAGGATTACGGGAAGGAAGATGAGCCTCTGACGCCTGAGAAAGTCATCGAGCAGGCGGATGGGCTTCGGGGCGCAGCCAAGGGGGGCCATCGAGTGCATCGGCCAGAACTCTCCGTTTGAAAACACATCATGTCACAACCAGATGCAACGCAGCGCCAGTCCAAGGTCATGCTCAAGATGTTCCAGGTGATCTCGGCGAACGGTGGATCCTTTGCGAGCAAGGAGGTGGCCTTCAGCAGTCTCATCGAGGGTATCATGGCCGAGGTGTGCGACGCGTTCCCCCCGAGCTTCGACGACGTTGCCAAGTTCATCGAAAACGCCGTCAACCTTGACTTGAAGGGTCGGCCCGGGCTGCAGGACTTCAAGCCGCTCTTCGTTGACGGCAGCCGTAGCTTCAAGCCGAGTGTCTTGCTGACGATCCGTCTGGAGGTTCTCTTCTACGTGGCCGCGAATGCGGGGGCGACCTCGATTCTGGTGCGCGAGGGCCCCGCCATCACCCCCGTGGCCTTCATGGGCAAATTTCTGCTCGAGGTCGTCCACGGCCAATTGCCAGTCTCGGCGGCGTCGGGCACTTCTGTTCGGAACAAGTTTCTCGACGCCCACTTCGGCAGGGCAGCGGCGGGGTGCTCGGGCCCGCGGCAGATCGCGCAGAGCTTTGTGGAGATTGCGCGCGAGAAGCAGCAATTTGTCGAGGCGCGCGATCGGGGGGCGTACGAGGCAGGGGGGGCGCAGCTGGTGGCAGAGCTTCCGCGTGCAACGAAGCTTTCGAAAGCCTGGCCTGAAATCCTGCGGGCGTCGGGTGGGTGGGGCGAGTCTTGCGTGACAGTTGACCCGAAGGTCGACATCTTCCCAGATTTGAGGGCGCAGGCGATCAAGGATCTCGCAGCGACGTTCGACCAGAAAAACAAGTTGCAGATGGAGGCGCTCCACAGAAGAAATCCCAGCGACGCCGCGGCGCAGAAGATCACCGACGCGTTTGCGCCGAAGCGCAAGCCTGATGCGGAGTCGGATCCAGTAGCGCGGCCCGCCTTGCCCGCCGTGAAGCCCCTGGGCAAGTGCATGCTGGACTTGGCAGCAGCTGAGATCACTAATGACTCCATCAGCGTGGCGCCCAAGAAGGCCCTGGTCGCGAAGGCGAACTTGATGTTCGCAGAGGCGGGACAGAGGAAGAGGATGACTATGGGGGATCCCTTCATAGTCCTCCTTCATATTCCTTCAGATGGAGGAGATGACCATCGTCTTCCTTCAGAAGGAAGAAGCTGGTCGTCTCCTCCCTCTCGCTCCCCTCCCCCTTCCTACACCGTCGAGGTTGCCTGTGGGAACCCCTGCAAGATGAACGAAGCCCGCGGCGCGCCGTCGTTGAAGGATGGCGCTGGCCCGAAACTCATCCCGATGAAGACAGATGAGAAGGGCAACCCTGCTGAACTTCTTCTCTGGGGTCGCGTCGTGGAGCCCCAAGAAGCGCAATGCGTGAGCCGCCAGGTGTTGGTGGACATCGGCGATAGCGGCGGCAAGGGCCCGCAGCTGTACCTCGACGGGACGAAGGCTTCGAAGCCTGGCAGCAGTCAGACGTCATGGGGGCGGTCAGCGCTGCCTCTCCCAGTCCCGAAAGCAAAGGCAGAGGCCAAGGCCGCGCCGACTGAGCCCGAGCCGAAAGAGCTGCCCGATTGGGATCCTCCTGCGGCCGCTGCGGTTGCCCCGAAGCGAACGCCGAAGGCCGAGAGTGCCGTGGTGGCCGCGCACGAGCTGGCGTTCGAGAGTCGCGAGATCCTGATGCCAGATGGCACTAAGTACCACTGCAAGCTGCCGCGCGTAGTGGCACTCGAGCACGGGTTCGACCACGCCTCGCAGCAAGACAACAAGCTGCACCGCAAGCGCGCGGAGTTGGACGACAAGGAAGTGATCGCCGAGAAGCGGGTCAAAGTTGAGAAGAGCATAGGCTCGTTCGCATTGCGATAGACGGGCGAGCTTGGACGCGCGGGCAGCGCGCCGCTGCTTGCTACTCAGTGCTCTGGTGCGGCACAATCGCCCTCCTCCTCATCATCCCCTCCTGTCCCCCTCCTCCTTTCCAACCCTCCCTTTCCGCCCCCTCGCCCTTCCCCTTCCAGAGAGAAATCCCATCACAAACGCGCGTTACTGCAGGCGGCTTCGAGCGGCTTCTGAATTCGCCCTCCTCGGCTGCGAGACCTTGAGTTCATGCGGTTCCTGCGGGGGCGTGGGCGGGGGTGGGAGCGCCTGGGCAGGCCGCTGGCGTCGAGTTGGTTCCCCCAGGGGTGCTCGGCGGACATCGGTTGGCGATCGCCCCCCCCCCCCCCCCAGTATTCCTCCTCCGTTTCGCTCTTGCGATTTCCCCCAATTCGCCTTCCAGGGGGCGGGCATGGTGGATTAGCCGCTGCCGCCGCGGAAGGGGTCCTACCATTTCCCCGCGAGATTGGCCGTGTGACCAGTAGAGTAGCCAACAGTTTTGTCATGCGTTGCATCGTGACCACAGTGTGTTAAGTATACATTGGTGTATTGGGTGCCACATATAGCACGTTTCACATGCGTGGTTATATGGCGCATGTTGACACTATCACTCGCACGGGCGTTGGCGACGATTCATTCAGGTTTACCGCTGTGCTCAGCGTCGTCCTGACAACACATGTTACCGCTATGCCGCAACAGGTGTTTCCATTGTTTATGTCGTGGCACGCATTGTCCACAGCAGTATTGGTCACGTGGTCATGATATGGCATACGTAAATTGTGAGTATGGTGAGAATGCAAGTATCACATATGATTTTTGGGTGGAAATGCAGTTGCGCGCGAACGTCTTGTGCGCCATAATGTAGGATACGGCTTCACGTTTTCCTTCGTTTTTTTTCGATATGGTAATCACGCGATTCAGCGAAGCAGGAGGTCGGCCCCGAAGTGCCAAAACCTCAGGAGTAACATTTCCCACAACGACAGAATGAGCAAATTGCCTGGCCTCAAATGCCATATGAGAGGAGCGAAGCCGCGGCAGGGGTCCTGACGCCCCGAGGTCTGTACATCCTTTCGCATCTGGTCCAGTGTGGTCGCCGCGATATGTTTGCGGGCAATGGCCATCTCACCTCCCGAGAAACCGTTGTACTTTCTGAAGGCAGGGGTCACGGAGGCCTTCCACGAATCTTTCTGAAGCTGTATGCGCATGTCCTGCGCCGCTGCAGGGCCGGCGTGGGTCTCCACCAAGGCCATGATGCTGTAGCAGTCGCGCTTCTCATGCACGCGGTGATGTTACCGAAGAAGATGGTGGGTGGGCTACCCCCGCTCGCTGCCTGCGCTTGGCATGAAACCAAGGGCTTCGGCAGGAGGAGCCTTAGGGCGATCAGAAGTCCTGCGAGCCATCTCCTTGGCCGCCGCTGCCACGCTGGAGGAGGATGCCGCGCTCTCGGCATTGACCGCGGCGAGGGCTGCCTCAGCCGCCTGCTCGGCGGCGGCCTTCTGCTGCTCCGGGGTGGGCTTGGCGGGGCCCTTGGGCGCCTGGGCCGCGAAGGCCTTGGCCTTGGCCTCGGCGGGCGTGGGATCGGCAGCGACACCCTCCCCCGCAGGGTTCTTGCGCTTCTTGCTGGCTGGGGCCTCCACCGTGGCCCGCGCCGTCTGCAGGAGCTCCTGGAGGCGACGCGGGCCTTCCTCCATCTCCCGCTGGTGGCGCTCGAGCTCCTCCTTCCAAGTGAGAAGAGAGTTCTTGGCCTCATCCTCGTACTGGTCGAGGTCGTCGAAGAGGCCTGCGTCGAAAGCGAAGACCACCCTGCGACCGTCCTGCGCGGTGCCAGGGTCGGCGCCCTGGATGGTGGTGGCCTCGTGCGCGCGGACGGCCTCCACGCGCTCGGCCTCCGCCTCGACGGAGATGCTGGCCTGCTCGAGCTGGTCCTCCTTGCACTGCTCGAGGTACTCCTGGGCGGCCCTGAGACGGGCGGACAGCGATTGGAGCTTGGCCTTCTCCTGGTTGGCGATCCTGATCGCCTTGGCCATCCGCAAGTGGACAGCCTCGGGGTTGGCCTGGGCGGCCAGCTGTTGGGCCTTGGTGCGGTCCTGGATCTCCTTAAACAGCGCCAGTCCATGCTCCGATGCCCGCAGATCTGCAGGGAACTGGTCGAAGATGGCCAGGAACTGGTCGGGCTTGCCGTGATGAGGCTTGTCGGCCCAGGGGGCCCTGCTGCGTGGCGGCTTCCAGATGTCGATGGGGGCTGCTGCAGTGGTGGCAAACGTAGCCGTTCTGCACGATGCGCCAGTTGTACGACCACTGGTTGCACGCCGCGCAGGTGTTCCACGCCTTGCCATAGCGTCCCATCGAGCGCGGGGAGGCGTGAAGCAGGAACTGATGGTGGGTGCCCAACTCCCACGGGAAAGGCGAAAATGGTCGTCGTCAAGCCGCGGACTGGTGGTATCCGTTTGGCCCCCTGGGGAACCTGGCAGCTTGAGCCAAAATGACTACGGAGGAGGAGGAGGAGGGGGAGGAGGGGGAGGAGAAGGAGAAGGAGGGAGAGGAGGAGGAGGAGGAAGAGGAGGAGGAGGAGGAGGAGGAGGAGGAGGAGGAGGATGGGAGAAGGAGGAGGAGGAGGAGGAGCGCGGAGGAGGAGGACGGGTCGCCTAAGCCCTTCGGAGAAACCCTCCACTCACACCCCCCCGGCTCTCGGGGTCTACACCGATGGCGGGTCCAGGGAGGGCCGGACTGATGATGGCGGCAATGTGCACTTGGCACTTCTCCGCAGCGTCTGTCCATCTCCCCGACATCCGTCCTCAGACAACATCCCGGCCAACTTTGCCGAAAACAGCCGCGATGGCGTGGGAGGCCTGCTGGTGGCCGATCGGCGGACAGCGCGCGAGCGCAGCGCTTCGACACTGATTCTGGACATGTGCCGGCAACGGGTCTGATGATGATGGCTATGTGGTGACGCCGTTGGCGGTGGATGGCACGACGCTTCAGCAGACGGGAGGGTAAATAGGAACATCTGGGGGGCTCTTGGCCACCGCACTCGCGCGGGCTCGATACGAGGGAGTGTGTGGGACACACGGCTGGCCCAAGCTGCTTACCTACTCGGTCCACTGAACTGGCCGACCCACACCGACGGGCGATGCAAGTCGGTCCTATGCTGGGCATCGTTCCAAGGCTGAGCCCTCAATCACAACAACGGTTGGCACAATCAATCAAGGGTTGCCAACAAACACTAACAATTCCGTGCTGAAAGCGGACGGGGTCGCATGCGAAACCTGAGACAAATTCGCACATGCGATGGAAAACGTAACCACACATACGCTTCGAATGCCACGGCACGAACCACTTGAAACGCCAACACACACACACACTGACTCTACTTGCGGGCTGCCGTTATGAGCCCGAACTGCTTGACTCACGGAAGTTACTTCCACGAAGTCACCTTCGCGGCCGCTGGCTCAAGTACGGGAGGAGCCACCAACGACACGGTCGTGGCTACGGACCTGGCTCTAGCTGACCGCCACAGAGGCCCGTGCAGCAGACCACCCATTCTTAAGCACTTGCTTAGGGCCGCATCGACTATGACGAGATCTACACAGACCGAAACAACGTTCTTTGGATGTGAGCTATGTGTCGCGCCGAAACGTGGTGGGCGAAAAACGGTGAAGTGACACGCTATCCCCAAATTCCCTAGCGTACGTCATGCAAGGAGCTTGTTCGCCTGAAGATGCACACCAAGGAGAGTACAGGAACAACACTCCAACACACATGCGTGCGCGATGGGAATCTCAGTGGAGATGTTGTGCAGTGGCCAACGCCGAACACGCTGCGGACCCTGCTCCCTCTCCGTGCAATATTTGCGCTGAACCTCCTCCTCCGTCACACATCCTCCCGCATCTCCCCACTTTATCTTTCTCTCCTCCCTCCTTTCACAGCGAGTCTCTGAATCCACCTTCAGATCCAGGCGTGCGCGACAAGCATTCACAACAGCCCGCGCCTTCGCCGCCGCCCTCCGCGTCTTGGGCAGGAAGCTCCTGCGCGGGGCGGTCTTGCAACGAGGCAGACATGCCATGGCCACTGATGCCGCATTCAAGCTCATTTACCGCTTCCGCGGACTCGCAGGGACGAGCTGGAACAGGTGCCTCTCCTCCTCTGCCATCCCGATTCCTCCTGCCTTCCTCCATCTTGGCTCCAGGTGGCCACTGCGATATTGACCATGCCCACCGCCCTTCAACATGTCATTCTGTGGACTCACCTTGAAGCCCAGCAGTCGGCTTCGCAAAGGATTCGTCGACCAACGGTGCGCTCATTTTCCTCCTCCTTCCCACCTCCCTCCCCCCATGCATCCGCCTACCTCCTTTTCCTTTTCTCCCCCTCGTTGCCATCCTACCCCTCGCCTGCCCTCCTCCATCCCACTTCTTCCTCCTGCTCTTCCTCCCTCCTCACTGCACCGCCTTCTGACAAGACACATGAGCCCCTCCCCGTGGACATTTTCGCTACGTGTCGGGTGGACGCGGACCGCTCTGAGGCAGGGTGGGGGGGCTTGGGCCGTGGTTGCAGCAGCAGCAGCGGCGGGGCCAATGCTGATATTCGCCGAAACCTTGGTGCCATCGGCGTGAAAGATGTCTGCCCCTCCCCTCCAAGGAGCGGACTCGCTGCGGACTGGTTGGGGTTCCGAGGCGCGAGGGCTATCCTCACGGGCTCACGACGGCCCCAATGGCACTAAAACGCGGCTGGGACGAACGGTCCCAAGAGCCGGCCTGGACAGCGGCAACAACCTCTTTGAGGTTATGATAGGTGCTCATCGGCGACCACATACGCACGGGAAACCCCAAAACAAACTGCGAGAGGGCCCAAACGAAAGCCCAAGAGTGCCGAAACTCTTGAACCACATCCGTTCGCATTCGTAGTGCACCTCGATATACCGGCTCTCGGCAGAACGCCTGTCTAAGATGCTACTGTGACAAGCCAGATAGCCGGCTCGCTCCCATCTAGTAGGTCCTTGTTCGACAAGTGGGAACTGCATTGTGTGTGACGTGACCTGCCGACACCCTGGCAGAAGGGTGCCTTCTTTGCGCGGGCCGTAACATACTAAATGAGGAAGTGCTCCTACCCTTGCCAACGAATGGCCATCGGCAGCAATCATTGTCATCAGTATTCGCTCCCTGGCAGCGATTCGCAAGCGATATTGGGACAAGTACAGATCGCCACCCATCGCAACTTACGCAGGTCCCGCCTCATCAGAGACGAGGCCATCCTCGATTTCACCGATCGGGCCACCGAGTCACATGCGTAAGTGTAATAGTACCCCTGCCCGCACATATCTGGCATACCTCCCCCTTCACCTCTCTCTCTTTCTCTCTTTCTCCCAGCCCCCGCGCGTGGCCGAGCGCTCGGTCTGTCCGCTCTGACCCGCGCGCGCTACCGAAGCAGGCGGCCTCCCTCCGGGCGAGGTGCCTCAGGATGCGGGCTCGTGCGGCCCTTAATTCATCCTAAAGAAGGCACAGCTCCACAGGGACCTCGAGACGAGCTGGAAGCATGTCGACCCCGCCCCGCCCACCCACGTCGCCAAGACCCTCGCCCACCACCTCGACAAGCAACTCCCGAAATACTGGGCAAGCACAGTAGTGCCTCATGCAGTCGGCGGCAACGCATCCGAGAATACAGGTGGCTCCCGTCTGCTGGAACCTCCGTTGAATGAGCCAGGCCTTCGAGAGCGTTCGCACGATGGCAAACGCGCGTGAAACCTTGAACTTGGGCGTGTTCAGAGAAACCGCCGGCCAGTCAATGGCCTCGATTCGGCCCAAGGTCGGGGAACCAGCTTCAGAGCCGTCGGAGGAAGAGAAACCTAAGGGCGTCTGCGGGAAAAAGGGTGGCTGCGGAGGAGGCCAACAGAGTTCGCCGCATTCGGAGCTTGCGCGGGCGGCGGCCCTCGCGGGCCGCAGCGGCAGCTTCCGCCATCAGTCCTTGAACCTCCTCGTGCCCAGGTGCCAGATGCTTCAGTTTGGGGTCGTCGGGGAAGCCGGCAGCGGCGAGCGTGGGGCGTTGGCGCAAGGCAGGCCCACCTCCACCAATGCGGGGCCCATTCGCCGCGCGCGACAGCCGCGATCGGTCGCCTCCTGAAGGCCTGCTTTCGAAGGCGCCGCGCTGACCTCGGCCAACAGGAAGAGAAGGTGGAGATGGCAGCGCGACCGTGGGCGGCGTGGGCGGAGAGGGTGATAGAAGGAATACGAGGTCCATCCAATTTCCCCATACTGAACCATCCCAACCGGCTCGGGGTACAGCGAGGGGGGGAATGGAAAACCTTGGCCACCATCGCGGCCCCCTGTCCGAGCAGCTGCTGCGGCGGCGGCAAGAACTGGGCGACGTGCGAAGGTGCCGCGGCACATCTTGACGAATAAAGGGTGGGCTGGCTCATGCTAGGCGGCGCCCCTGAGAGCGCCATTTCCCAAGATGCCCGAGCCGCGATTTGTCATGCGAGTTCGGCCCCGCCCGCGTCCCGAAGCATTTCAAGTTTGGAACCGCGACAGGAGCGGACCATTCAGGGACAGGTCCGAGAGGGCACCCGAGCACTTTGCTGCCGGGTCGGCGGGGGAGGACCGCTTAACGGGGCAATGAAGCACTTCGCCGTTCTCTGGGTAAGGGCCGCGAATTTCTGAGCACACTGGAAGATCCTAACGGGCGCAGTGATGCACCGTAGCTTCAGGATTGCCCCGCAAGGTCGCCGGCGCAGGCAGCAATGACGCCCCTATACTTGCGGCCGCGGGTTTTTGAGCCCACTGGAAGATCCTAACGAGCACAGTGATGTAACGTAGCTTCAGGGTTGCCCCGCTAGGTCGTCGGCGCAGGCAAAAATGGCGCCCCTATACTTGCCCGCGAGGCTGGTGCCAAAGTTCAGTAAGAAAGGGTTCGGGCTCGCTGCGAAGAGAGCGCCGCTCGCTGGGCACCCCTATGTTCCCAGACCAAATCGAGAACAAGCCAAACCGTTGAGCCGCCCAGGGCACCGAAACACTGAGCGCTTCGGTAGAGGACCAGGGAGAACCAGAACATTGGCCCAGGGAGGCCCATTCGCCCCAGGATTTTCGTCATCCAAGCGCGCGAGACCCAAGGGAACGCGGGCAAAGTCGTAGGAGAGGATGGCGGGACGGTCCTCCTTCGCGTTATCCGACGTCAGCGCGAGACGGGCATGGGCATCCAGCTCTATGATATTCTCCCCGAGTTGCCGACCGATGGTAAAGCCCCTCTGGGGCCCGCAGGTTACCTCCGCCATCTTCGCCGAAAAAGGGCGCGCCACCAGGCCGGTGAGAATCTCATTCTCCGAGTTCTTCAAACCGAGAGGCCGCCGCGAACTGACATGGCGGACAGCGCCATGCTCGTCGCCCCCCCCCCCCCCCCGAGGAATGAAGACGCCGAGAAGGGAGTTGGAGCCGGAGAGAGGAGAGTTCCCATCCATAATGCACCAAGATACTCGGCGAGCAGCTTCGCTGCCATGGGGGAAGAGCGCCAAGCCGCGCGCGGGAGAATATCTGGACCTGGCGCACAGTCTTCCAGAGTCCGCAGCCTCTGCCGCACTCCAGCAGGCGAGAGAGGAGGAACGCCTGAGAAGTCCATGCCGCCCACATATGTCCAAATAGGCGTCTGCATCTTGCCAATAGCTGCAGATCGCAGTGGGCATCGACTCGGGCGTCGCGGCCACCTCGTCACCTACTCTGATCCCTTTCAAGCGCAGTCTCCTGTCAAATGGGGCCCAAGTCGCAGCGCGTGTTTGAGGCCCCCGTTGCTGTTGACGTCGTTTCCTCCGAAACTTTTCTGGGGGAGTGGAGGGCCGCGAGAAGGCGATCCGCCATGTTCCCTATCAGCTTCCCAGACATGTAGCATGATGGCACTTCTGCCGTGCGCCGCCGCCCGCTGCCGGACAGAGCCCCCCCCCCCCCCCCTCGGATGTGCCTCGACAAGTGGCGCCCTCAGACTTGGTCCTTGGAGGTCTTCGCTTGACTCCGCCTCCTCCTCCTCATCCTCCGCGCCCTCGCACTCTGGCCCCTCTCTTCTTCTTGGCCGTCCCCCCCTGGCCTGGAACGACAAACGTGCCCTTCCTCTGCGGCCGCCCCCTGGCCGCAGCCTCTGCCCCCTCTGCGCCCTCTGGGGGAATGTTCCTTGGAGCTGCTCTTGAGGGTGGCTATCTTGCCTCGAGGTCGGCAGATTGCAACTGGCCAAGGTCCGCCGCGAGCTTATCTGAATCTAGAAACCAGAAGCGCCCGCTGCGCGCGCCCAGGCCACGCGAAGAACGGGCGGCAAGGTGCGCCTGCAAGGGGGCGGAGCCAAGCATCGCGCCCTGTCTCCAAACCGTTCGAGCGACCGATCGACGAAGTATGGTGCGAGCAGGCCTCGACGGGGGGGGTCCTGATGCAGAACGGCGCTGCGCGCAAACCTGGCTCCATCCACCTTGAGATGCGCATAGGGCTCTACCTTCAGCGGCGGCGAGAGCCCCCCCCCCCCGAGAGACCGCGCCAAGATATGCCTCCATGAACATCTGGAAGTAGCACGAGCTGAAAACTGCCTTGGGGATCGGGCGATCCTTCGGGGGGGGGGGGTCCTCGGGGCACCCTTGAAGTCTACCGGCATGGGAACGTGCTCCGATATGTCCGAGTGGTGCAAAACTTCGACAAGGTCTTTCGCCACCCCCAAGGCATTCAACTGAGTGAGGCCCCGCCCAGGGAGAGACGCAAATATCCGATCTGCGAAGTTCGCGGAATCGTTCGTTAAGCTGCAATGGGTCGGACCTGGCTGCTCCACCTCAACTAACGTGCTAAGGAGGTCCTGCCAGAGAGGGTCCCATGCTCGCTCGCCACTCGCGGCGGCCGAAGTTCGGCTGGAAACGGGGGCCCCTCGCTCCGCCAGGTAGACTCGGGCGAGGCGGGCGCGGGCTGAAGTTGAAATCCTCGACCAGAATCATCAATGCGCGGTCGGGAATGCGCTTCGCCTCTTGAAAGTCAGCTTTAATCGCATTGGTTACCTAGGGCTTTTCATCCCTCGCGAGGCCAAAGTTGCGGACGTTCCAATGGGAAATCCAGCAGCCCCCTGACGCGCCAAAAACCATTTTCACAGTCAGCACCCTCCCTGGGACCTCTCGGATGGCCGGTGACCTGGGCACCCAGGCCTGGGAAGAATGTTAGCGCGCCGCCGACTGCCGTTCTCTCGAGGCCTTCGACGCCGTCAAAGAAGGGGCGGCGCATCTTGACTGGCTTATGGACATGATGCACCATGCCCTCAACCTCCGCCAGAGCCCTATGATATCCCAGGATCCCGAGAATGGTTGGCGGGGGCAAGATGTTCCTGATATAAGCGATTTTCTTCCCGCGGAGACCCAGGTCGCGGTGCAGCAGTGCTCGAGCGCTCCAGCTCGTGATCGCCAGGCTCGAGCGGCAGGGCGATGACCCCCGTCGAGCCTGCAAGGGGCTGCAAAAGACACCGCTCTGTCGCCTCTGACTGCTCGAAGAGCTGGGCATTGGCGCGGCGGATCGCCTCCGAGCCCATGCCCGGGGCGCCCGTGTTCTTGGCGCTGACGTGGATCTTCGGAGGCCGCAGGGTCGAAACTGACCAGCTCCTCCCAGCCCGAGCTGACCGCCCCCCTCTCCATGCCCACAAAAAACGACGCCGTGGATGCAGCGCCGAGAGAGAGAGAGAGAGAGAGAGAGAGAGAGAGAGAGAGAGACAGAGAGAGAAAAAAAAGAAAGAGAGAGAGAGAGAGAGAGAGAGAGAGCGCTGGATCTTCTTGCATCCGAGCTCCTTCGCCACCATCTTCGGGCCCTTGTCCGTGCCGACCGACAGCTCCGCGTCTGCTCCGCCCACCGGCGCTGGAGTCGTGATCTTCCTCCAGCCTGCGCCTCGCCCAGGGGGCCTGAGGGTGCCCGCGGCCTGTCCCGCGCGCCTCGACGCGTGGGCCTTCTGGCCCTTGGCCACCACCTGGAAGCGCTTGTCCGCTGGCTCGCTCCCCGCGGAGTAGTCCGCTGGGGACATGTCGCAGTCGGCGAGCCGCGGCCCCACCGCCCTGGCGACCTGCTCTCGAGGTGGTGGTACTTGAGCGCGCACCGCGATGATCGTCGGCCCGGTCTCCCTGTCAAAGCCGCCCGCGCCCACCGGTGGGCGCGGCAGCTCCTCGCGCCGCATGGGCCCGAGGAGGTCCCGCAGCTCCTGCAGCTCCACCTCGAGCTTGGTGATCCTCGTGTCGTGGAGGTCCACCCCGCGCTCTGCCTTGCACGCCCGCTTCTGGACCGCTTTGTCGATGCTCGCGCATTGCTCCCCAATCGTTGAACTAAGGCTCGAGAGAGAGAGACTGCAACGCGATCGCCAGGCTGGACATGACGTCCGACCTGGTTTTGTCAATGTACTGCCTGAGCTGCGCGCGCTCATGATCATCATCCACCCCACCACGACCGTCAGCTGCCTGTTGACGTGGGCGGGCGAGGCCAGCAGCGCTGGCGGAGCCACTCGTCGCACGAGCTATGGCCTCCGTTCCTGAGGACACCCCAGGGGTGAGCCGAAGAGGGCAATAATCGCCTGTGCCAGCACGGCCTCCAACTCATCCGTCACTGTCAGCTCGAGGGGTGCCGGGGACACTGGGTGAGCGGGCGCCCTCCAGCGTTGGGAACAGCTCCACGTCTTGCAGCAGGTCGACGATCCCTCCTGCGGCGCGGGTGCATGGAGGCCGCACGTTCACCTGCTCCACCAAGTCTTCCTCACCCTCAAGCTTCTCGAATCGCCTGATGCCGTCGTCCAGCGTGGGGTGCTTCCTTGCCGCGAGCGGCGGGGCCAGCGTTAGCAGCGTGGTCCATGGCTGCAGGGAGGAAACCAGCCCCGCGGCGCAGAGAAAGAAGAGGGCGGGGCCGTGGCCGATGGGCGCGCCCCGCGCCGTGGCCACCTGGCGGCCAAGGGGTGCTTGTGCCCCCTGCGGAGAGGAATTCCGAAGCGAATCGCTGATTCACGGACGTCTATTGTCCTTCACAGCGTGTGGCCTTGAGCCGAAATGGCTACGGACCTTTCTCTCCCAGCCCTCCCGCCTCCCTCTCCTTCTTTGCTCCCTCCCGCCTCCCTGCCTCCTGCCTGTTGCCCTCTCCCCTCCCGCCCTCTCCCCACGCCCTCTGCCTCGACCCACCCTGCCTCTTTCCCCTCCCAGCCTCCCTCTCCCCAAAGCTCCGACGTTGCGATTTTTCACAATGTGGACCCTCTGAGGTCTGGACTTGTTCCCCGGGACCAGATTTTCTCTCTGAGCAGGTTTTGACGGTCCCGGATCGCGGCGATGGCCTCTGGAGGCAGAACAAAAAAAACAAAATTCCGCCGCGGTGATTTTTCTCAAGGAGAGGAGGTGGGGGACCCTAGTCGTTGCTGTCGCCGTAGGTATCGTCGTCGCGGTCTGCATCGTCGTTATTGCCGTCGTTATCGTCGTCCGTCGTCGCAGTCGTTGTTGTCCCAGTTGCAGTCGTCGGCAAAGTTTCCGTTATCGTCGTCAGCGTTCTCCATGCCCGTCCCCTCTCACTCCATTCCTCTCTGGACGGTCCTCGAAGGACAGGTCGAAAAAACTGCCTTTCGCCGCCACCGGCCGCTTCGCGAGCCGGGGAGCCGCACCCCTGGGCACCTGCCAGCTCGCGCGGCCACCCGCTAGCTTCCCGTCGTGGGGGAGGAGGGGTCGGGCGGCGGAGGAGAAGGACAAGGGGATAAGGAGGAGGACGAGGAGAAGGAGGGCGGCGAGACGGGCCAGGAGAAGGATGGGGAGCCGTTAGAAGCAGCTCGACATCCACGCAGTCCGATATTCTAAAATTGGTAGCATGCAAATCCATACCTCTCGCTGGCGTAAAACCATATCTCATTCAGGCGAAAAAAGCACGGTGATCGCGCGCGCGCGGGCGAAGGCGTCTCACCCAGGAACAGCGGTGGGCGCCCACTGTGTTTTGTAAGCAGGCCATCCATCTGCTTTGGGAAGTCGCTCGCGGTGAAGCTTTCAATCATCCTTGCAGCGAGTCGACCCCGCCTTCGAGGTACGCTGCGGCGCCCATCTGCATAGATCCTCCGAATTTCTTGGTGCCCAACACGTTCCCTGGTGCCCTGCATGCCTCCAAAAGCTCCTCCACGGCCCCGCGTCTGCACGACAACGCCACATGCTCATTCCCCCTAACGCCCACTGACTGGGAGATCTGCGCGTCTGTTTCATCTGGGGGGGCGCCGTGGCTCCCGCTTTGCGGGTTCACTACTTGCTGTCTCCTGCTGTTGACAGCGCCAGAGTGAAGCAAATAGGTTCGCCATTCGAGGCTCATGCATTCACCTCCGCTCACATCCATTACTTCAACTATGGCGATTCTCCTGCGCCGCGGTGGCTCCGGCGGAAGTCCCTCCCTCCCTCCCTCCCTCCTCGGCCTGCGCAACGCGCCGACCCTTCTGACAAAGGCGGCCCCTGCATTTCTCAACTCGAACATTGCACTACTAAAGGATGCTCTGGATAATCATGGTCTCCCGCCCGATCAAGAGGGGCTGCATGTGACGGGCGCGTTGGACTTTACAAGGCTCCAACATGTGACCCAACCGCCCCAATGAGGCAGCCCCCAGACGTCTCGAGAGTGAATCTGCTGACTGCTACATTTGAACGCTGCAAATCAAAATCTGGCCTGAGCCAATGAATTTCTGACAGTGAGCGCAGTGGGTGGCACCACGCAAGATTTGTGGCTGCACGACTCGTCCGCCTCAACAACTCTAGTGGCAGTCGTACTTGTAGTAGTAGTAGTAGTAGTAGTAGTAGTAGTAGTAATAACAGTAGTAGAAGTAGTATTACTATTAATCGTATTATTATTAGTAGTAGTAGTAGTAGTAGTAGTAGTAGTAGTAGTGGTAGTGGTAGTAGTAGTAGTAGTAATACCTCGTAGTTCTAGTAGTTCTAGTAGTAGTACTAGTAGTAGTAGTAGTAGTAGTAGTGGTAGTAGTAGTAGTAGTAGCACCCGTAACATTAATAGTAGTAATCGTAATGCAAATTACTCCGACAGAAAGACCCCGCATGAGAAGCCTCTGGGCGAATCCGGAAAAAACCCTCACCGTCGTCCTCGTGGTTGGTGAGGCGTCCTGGCTGTCTCTTCTGCGTATATTTCTTCTCGTCCTGGCGCGGGCCCTCCCCCCACTCCCTACGTTGCCCCTGACCTCGCCCTCTTGTTTCGGCCACGGACATTCAGAAAAGGACCCGGGAGTGGTGCTCTGGGAGCACGAAGAACACGAACTGGCCTACAATTGGCTCCGGGCATTCAAAATGTGGCCCGGGAGTGGTGTTCTGGGAGCACGAAGAACACGAAGTGGCCTACAGTTGGCTCTGGGCATTCAAAATGTGGCCTGGGAGTGGCGTTCTGGCGGCGCGGGAGCCCAACAATCGCGACAGTTACAAGAATTTGATGACCCGCTCGGATTACAAACATGATTCGCGGGCCCCATAGGGAGAGGGTTCCCGCTTGAGACTTCCTTGCAATTCACTCACACATGTAGCCTGGAAATGGCGTTCTGGCAGCGCGAGAGCCCAACAGTGGCGACAGTTATAAGAATTTGATGACCCGCTCGGATTACAAACGTGATTCACGGGCCCCATAGGGAGTGGGTTCCCGCTTGAGACTTCCTCGCAATTCACTCACAAATGTGGCCTGGGAGTGGCGTTCTGGCAGCGCGAGAGCCCAACAGTGGCGACAGTTACAGGAATTGGATGACCCGCTCGGATTAGTAACATGATCCGCGGGCCCCATAGGGAGGGGGCTCCCGCTTGAGAGTTCCTCGCAATTCACTCACAGACGGGGCCCAAGGCGAGTGAGTGAGTGAGTGAGTGAGTGACTGACTGACTGACTGGTGATGATGATGATGATCATCACACTCTCTCACGCGCACACCAATCATCATCATATGTGAGTGATGATGAGTCAGTGAGTGAGTGAGTGAGTGAGTGCATGAGTGAGTGAGTGAGTGAGTGAGTGTGTGAGGGATGATGAGTGAGTGAGTGAGTGAGGAACGAGTGATGATGATGATGATGGTGGGTTCCTGTTCCTGCGCGGGATGTCAAGAGAAAACAAAACCCCCACTTTGGGTGTGGGGAATAAAAATGAAAGTAGTAGTGGTAGTAGTAGTAGTAGTAGTAGTCGTAGTAGTAGTAGTAGTAGTAGTAATATTAGTAGTAGTAGTAGCAGTAGTAGTAGTAGTGGTCGTAGTAGTAGTAGTAGTAGCAATCGCCGTGGTAGTAGAAGTGGTAGTAGTAGTAGTAGTAGTTGTAGCAGTAGTAGTTGTAGTAGTAGTAGTAGTAGTAGTAGTAGTAGTAGTAGTAGTAGTGGTAATAATGTTAGTATTAGTATTAGTATTAGTATCAGTAGTAGTAGTAGTAGTAGTAGTAGTAGTAGTAGTAGTAGTCGTAGTAGTAGTAGTAGTACTGGTAGTAGTAGTAGTAGTAGTAGTAGTAGTAGTAGTAGTAACAGTAGTAGTAGTACTCGTCGTCGTCGTCGTAGTAGTAATAGTAATAAAAATAGAATGAGTAGTCTTAGTAGTAGTAATAGTAGTAGTACTGGTAGTAGTAGTAGTAGTAGTAGTCGTAGTAGTAGTAGTAGTAGTAGTAGTAGTAGGAGTAGTAGCGATAGCAGTAATAAAATTAGTATTACTAGAAGTAGGAGTAGTAGATGTAGTATATGTAGTAGTAATAGTAGAAGTAGTAGTCGTAGCCCTAGTCGTAGTAATAGTGGTAGTAGTAGTAGTAGTAGTAGTAGTAGTAGTAATAGTAGTAGTAGAAATAGTAGTAGTCGTGGTAGTAGTAGTCGTCGTCGTCGTAGTAGCAGCAGTAGTAGAAATACTCAGCGTCGTCGTCGTCGTCATCGTCGTCGTCGTCGTCGCAGTAGCAGCCGTAGTAGTAGTAGTCGTAGTCGTAGTAGTAGCAGTAGTAGTAGTAGTAGTCGTAGTAGTAGTAGTAGTAGTAGTCGTAGCAGCAGCAGTAGTAGCAGTAGTAGTAGTAGTAGTAGTAGTAGTAGTAGTAGTAGTGGTGGTAGTAGCCGTAGTAGTAGTACCAGTAGTAGTAGTAGTAGTAGTAGTAGTAGTAGTAGTAGTAGTAGTAGTAGTGGTGGTGGTAGTAGTAGTAGTAGTAGTAGTAGTGGTAGTAATAGTAATAGTAGTAGGAGTGGTAGTAGTCGTACTAGGAGTAGTAGTAGCAGCAGAAGTAGTCGTAGTAGTAGTAGTAGCCGTAGTCGTAGTAGTAGAGTTAGTTGTAGTAGTAGTAGTAGTAGTAGTAGTAGTAGTAGTAGTAGTAGTAGTCGTAATAGTAGTAGTAGTAGTAGTAGTAGTAGTAGTAGTAGTAGTAATCATAATAATCGTTAATCGTCGTAGTAGTAGTAGTAGTAGTAGTAATAATAGTAGTAGTAATAGTTAGTGTAAGTAGTAGTAGTAGTAGTAGTAGGTCGTAGTAGTCGTGATAGTAGTAGTAGTAGTAGTAGTAGTAGCAGGAGTAGGATGAGTAGGACGTAGTACTAGTAGTAGTAGTTGTAGTAGTAGTAGTAGTAGTAGTAGTAGTAGTGTAGTAGTAGTAGTAGTAGTAGTAGTAGCAGTAGTAGTAGTAGCAGTAGTAGTAGTAGCAATCGTAGTAGTAGTCGTAGTAGTAGTAGTAGTAGTAGTAGTAGTAGTAGTAGTAGTAGTAGAAGTAGTAACAGCAGTAGTAGTAGTAGTAGTAGTAGTCGTAGTAGTAGTAGTAGTAGTAGTAGTAGTAGTAGTAGTAGTGGTGGTAGTGGTAGTAGTAGTAATCTCACCAGCCCTTCGGGCGTGAGTGGTCTAGAGAGCCCGCTCTGTTCTCAACCCTCCTTCTTCCCATTCGGGGAGGGGTCTACCCCTCCCCCTACCCCCCTCCCCCTGGGCCTGGAGAGGGCGCCTCGCGGGTGGTCAGAGGGGTCTTTTTCGACTCCTGGGAGGGCTAAAAAACGACACCCCTCACGAGGATTCTGGCCCCGACGGGGGAGGGGAACAAATGCCCTCCTCGTCTGTGAAGCCAAAATTATTGATTTTACTACTGTGTTGGCCCCATTTTGGCCTTCTGAGGGGGCAGCGCTCATGAAAGCTCCCCTCTTCCTTCAAGGCAGAATTATTGATTTTACAAAGGTGTTGGGCTCATTTTGCCCTTCTGAGGGGGCAGCGCTCATTAAAACTCCCCTCTTCTTTGATCCATTCCCTCCAAGATGGCCCCAAGAAGCGCCCAGGAGGCACCAAGAGGCCCCAAGATGGCCCCAAGAGGTCACCAGGAGGCCCCCAAGAGGCCTCCAAGAGGCCACCAAGATGCCCCCAAGAGGTCCCCAAGAGGCCCCAAGAGGCGCCGAAGACGCCCCAAGAGGCCCCCCCGAGGCACCCAAGACGCTCCTGGAAGCCCCTGGGGCCGCCAAGAGGCCCCCCAAGACGCCACAAACCGCCTCCAAGAGGCCCCCAAGAGGCCCCAAGAGGCTCCCCCAAGGCACCCCAGACGCTCCTAGAAGCCCCTGGGGCCGCCACGCGAGGGACGAGGGGCCCGAACGACTCGCAGCACGAATAACCCGAACGACTCGCACCAGAAGGAGGGGCCCCAACGACTCAGACCAGGGCGAGGCGCCCGAACGACTCACACCACGAGGAGCCCGAACGACTCACACCACGACGAGGGCCCCGAACAACTCACACCACGGAGGAGGTGGAAGATGCGGTGGAGGAGGTGACGGAGGAGAAGGAGGAGGGGGAGAGGCTTAAGGGAGGAGGCAGGATGGAGGAGGAGGAGGAGGAGGAGGAGGAGGAGGAGGGAGGACAGAGCCCGAGCCTTGATGTTCGCGATGCCCTGCTCGAGGACTTTCTGGAAAAACTCGTCTTCGTCGGCAGCCTCTGAGGCAGAGAATTTCGAGGTGGTCGATCGGCGGAGTAGGATCGGATCGGTGGTGTCGGAGGAAGCGGAGGAGGAGGAGGAGGAGGAGGAGGAGAAGGGAAAGGAGGGGGAGGAGGAGAGGGAGGAGAAGGATGAGGAAAAGGAGGAGGAGGAGGAGAAGTAGGAGGAGGAGGAGAATCTCAGTTCCCTCTCCTCATCCCCCTCCTCGCCATCCTTTTCATTATCCTCCTCGTAAGGAGGGCGAGCCTGCTTGAGCTTCGCGAGCGCAGTCTCGAAGTCGCCCTTGAACGCCTCGAACTTGCCCCGCCCCTCCTTCTGCTGCGCAATCTTGTGCAACAAGGAGTCGCTCTTCATGACAGTCAGCGAGTACTGATTGACAATCTCCGTGGCCTGCTTGATCTTCTCCGTCTCGTTCTTGGCGCCAGCGCCTCTGCGACCCTGCTTGTTCTTGCCGCCTCTGCCCTTGCCGCCTCTGCCCTTGCCGTCCCTGCCCTTGGGATCATTACCGCTGCCGCGGCCCCTGCCTGCTGGCCTCGGCTGACCACCGCCTGCTGGCCTCCGCTGGTCTGAGGCTTCGACTGGTCTGCAGGCTCTCCAGGCGATGCTCCAACTGCTCCAGATGCTGCAGGTGCTCCGATGACAGTCTGCTTCATGGGTGTATCGAGGCCCTTCTTCTCCTCCTGCGCCGCCATGTTCTCGCTGTCGCGCTCCTCCTCGTGGTCGTCCCAGTTCGTGATCTCGGCATCCATCCTGGTCTCCCGCTCGTAGTCGAACATGACGCGCCCCGACCGCTCGTTGATCTCGCAGAACTCTGCCCCGCGCTTGGTGCACCACCCCGCGATCCGAATGGCTCCTTTCGCGGCGCTGGGCGAACCTCGCCCGCCCTCCGCGGCGATGATTTGATCTCTGTTCATCATCTGCCCTTTCTTTGCCCTCTGCGTAGTGGTTCTCGTGACCTTGGTCCTGTGGCTGGAGTAGACGTCGCACTTCTTCTTCGCCCACTCTGCTCGGCGCTGTGCTTGCCCATCCGTCGACATCGCGTCGCACTTGGCTTTGTCCCCCATGTGGCTGCACAGCCAGATATAGAACCTTTTGCCGACGGGGCTTTTCATGGCGAGCTGGAAAGAGTTCCTCGCGCACTCTTCCAAGTTGATGTCCTTCTTGTGTTTCAGCCCGAGCGCAGGGGGATCCCCATCCTCCTGCTCAGTCTGCTCCTCCTGAGGGTCGCTGCAGTTCGCCTGGCCCTCGCCGAACGCGCGATGAAACATCGCGGCGAGCTCCGCATCTAGATCCACGGGGGGCGCCGTCGCGCTGCTGGGCGCTGCTGACTGGCTGGCCGCGCTGCCGAGCTCTGCCCTGAGCAAGTCGTTGAAGTTGCTGCCTGTGCTGCCGACCGCCTGGTCATCGGGCTTCGATTGCTGGCTGCCGCCCTCGCCCAGGCCCTGCGCGCCGTGCTGCGCCGCGATGCCGCTCGCGGGCGGCGCGACCTCGTAGCGGAGGAGGAGGGGATGATAGGCGGAAGAGAACCGAGAGGGAGGAGGGGGGGGATGAGGAGGAGGAGGAGGATGAGAAGTCGGAGGAGAAGGATGAGCAGGAGCAGGCGGGAGATACCCAAGGGTGTCGACCTCGCACCGCAGCGTTGGCCCGAAAACATCGGAGTCCAGGAGCCAGTGTTTCTGCCCCCCCAGGCCCTGCAATGTCAGGAGTGCCCCTTAGACGGATGAGGGGTGGGAGGAAGATGAGGAAGAGATGAAGGAGTCGGATTTTATATATAAAAAACAAGCCTTGGGGCAGCCTGCATCGGCGTCGCGGCTCGCCCGCTGCTTCTTCGCGGGCGGGGTCGGGCTCGCGGGTGCCGGCGAAGGAGGAGAGAAGGAATGATGACCGAGGGTCGAGAGTGGATGCGAGGTGGCAGGGAGGACCGCGAAGAAGACGAAGAGGGGCTAAGACGAAAGATGAGAGAAGCGGATGAGAAGGAGGAGAAGGAGGAGGAAGAAGAAGGAGGAGGAAACGGAAGAGGATGGGGGATACACGGTGGGAGGAGGATGGGGAAGGCGGCGGGGTGGAGGGGAAAGGAGGGGGAGGAGGAGGAGGGGCAGGAGGGCAGGAGGGAGGATGAGGTTGAGCAGGTGACGCGCCTGCTCAGCAGGCTCGGGTTCGGCGCTGCTGCTGTCCGTAACCTCGACGCACGTCGGCGCCTCTCGAGAAAGGGGCGCGGCGAGGAGAGGGCAGAGGAGGAGGGGGATGAGGAGGGGGAGGAGGAGGAGGCGGAGGAAGAGGAGGACGACGAGTAGGAGTAGGATTAGGAGGAGGATGAGGGGGGGGGGGGGGGGGGGGGGGGGGAGAGGATGAGGAGGAGGAGGGGGGGGGGGGGGGGGGAGAAGAGGTGGGGAGCGTGGAGTAGGGCGCCTCGCCAGCGGCGGTCTTGGCAAGGTCGCGCGCAGCTGCGTCGTCCGCGGGCTGCGTCATCGTGGGCGGGGCCTGCTGCTCCTGCTGCTGCAGGGGCACCGCCGCTTCCCCCGCGCACGCCTTCTGGTGGTTAGCGAAAAGGGGGAGGAGGAGGAGGGGGAGGAGGAGGGGGGGGAGGAGGAGGAGGAGAACGAGGATGGGGACGATGCGGAGGGGAGGGAGGAGGGAACATGTGAGAGGAAGGGGAGGAGAGGAACAGGAGAAGGAGAAGGACGAGGATGACGAGGGGGATGAGGGGGATGAGGGGGATGAGGAGGAGGTGGATGGTGAGGTGTTCCGTTTTCAATCGGTCCCCGCCTCGCGAACGCCAGTCCACGCCTCTGCAGCCTCCTGCGTGGCTACTCGGCGCTGGGCGAGGCGGACGATCGCGTCGTTAATAGACATAGTTCAAGCTTGAAATTCGAAACTCGGGAAAAGATCTTGAACCCAAGCTTCGGTCAGGAGCCCCCATTCCCTCGCGGTGGAACCATGTGGGCGGTGGTGGGGGTTGATGCATTTGGGTTTCGATATCGGAAAGCGTCGAGCGCTCCCTGGCCCCTCTCGTGCACCCCTCATTGTTTCTACGAGTATGTTGGTGGCCCCTCCAGACCAGACCTGAGGCCTCAAAACCTGCACTGGCTTTGTCCTGTTGAAATTCGCATGAGCCTCTGACAATGACTGGGGGAGGGGGGGGGGGGGGGTGGTGGTGGTAATATCGGAAACTTCTCTGGTGCTCGGGGGGGGGGGGGGGGGGGGGGGGGGGGGCGCGAGGAGGGGGGAGGAGGAGGAGGAGGAGGGGGAGGAGGAGGAGGGGGGGAGGACGAGAGGGAAGAGGAGGAGGAGGAGGCGGCAAGGAGGAGGAGGAGGAGGAGGAGGAGGAGGACCTCATTTTATGGCCCGAGCTCATCTGAATAGCATCGGCGGCGGTGCGGTGGTGCGCTTCGGCTCATTCTGCGTCTTGGGCTTCTTCGGGGGCGTGGTAAGGGCCTCTGCCACTTCGGCTGGCCCTACTCCTGCATCTGCTGCAGGTGTGGGTGGTCGTGGAGCTGGTGGAACGCTGCCCGTGTTGACCTCTGTCGCAGTGCCAGAGGCAGCTGATGACCTCTTCTTGGAACCGCTCTCGATCACCGCTGGCTTCTTAGCCGCGGCAGCGCCAGCCCTGGATGGCTTCGCCTTCTTCTGCTCTGCGGCCGCCTCGTCTCTGGCGATCTTTCCGTCGCTCAGCCGCTTTGCAATGTCGTTGGCGAAGTCCACCGCTTTCTTGCGCTGAGATGCTTCCGTCTCGCCATCGAACCACTTGCACTGGGCCTGCAGGACCTGCCCGTGGTCGTCGCGCAGACAGACTAATTTCTCAACGATGTCCTTGTTGCTCAGCCTGCTCTGGCTGTAGTGCACTTTGATGGGCGCCGCCGCGAAATACTCAGGGTGCACGCCACCTGGCGGAATCGCGGTGACGACGAAACCTGCTCTGGAGGGTGTCCCGCCCGACCGCGGGGCGGAAGACGGCGGCTCCGCAGCCTTCCACTTTTCGACGGTGATCGGCACTTCCACCTCGAAGCCGTCGGCCCACTTGTACATCATCTTGGTGGTCTTCGCATCACCTTCTGACGGATGTAAAAAAGGAGGTGGAGTTGGACAAGGAAGAAGGTAGGAGTGATGAGAATGGACGGGGGGAGAGGAGAGGGGCGGGCGACGGGGAAGCAGGAGGAGGTGGAGGGGGAGAAAGAACGGAAGGAGGATAACGAGGGAGAGGGGGAGGGGTTATGTTCAAACACAACTTGCCCCCTCCCCCCTTTCCGACTTCTCCTCATTCTCCTCCTTTCCCCCCTTCCCCTCCTCCTCATTCTACCTATCCCCCGTCCCTTCGCTCCTCCTCATCCTCCTACGCCTCCGACCTCTTGCCTCCCCCTCGTTTCAAGGGTGCGAGGGACTGCCGAATCAAAATATGAGATCGCAGAAACCCATGCCCCCTGAAAAGAATATGTGCTGATAATTTGGTTGTCCTGGCCATCTGGGGTGGACATCTCGCCGAACTCCTGAGCCCTGCCGCCCCTGGAGCGGTAGGCCTCGTTACTCACGCGGTCGAAACCCGCGGTCCAAGGAGTCGCGCCCGCAAGCTTCTTCAGCACAGGATCCTCTGCGGCGCAAGATGGTCGGAAACCAGAGTAGGGGCGAGGAGGAGGGGGCCGAGGAGGACGAATGAGGAGGAGGATGAGGAGGAGGGTGAGGAAGAGGAGACTTGACAAGGAGAGTTGGTATTCATTTTATCCAGAGTCTCCTCGGCAGCGCCGCCCTCGTCAACGCCGTCGACCGCCTTGTCGCCGTCGTCGCTCTGCGCCTCATCCCCGAAATACTCGAGAGCCTCGTCCTTCTCGTCCTCGCCCTGGCTGTCGGACTCCTCGGGCTCCTGGTCCTCGTCGCCCTCAGATTCCTCGAAGTGTTCTGGAGGAGCCAGAGAGTCATGCGGTTGAGCATCTGGCTGCGATTCTTCCCCACCAGCCTGTGAACTGTCAGCTGATCTCGCAGTTTCTACCATAGAGTCCCAAACGTTGAAATCTTGAAAACCGTCTTTGGACCATGCACTTCCCCTCCTGCACCTTTCACGTGCGTGACTCATAAGTGTCCTTATCCTTTTATCGGGCGCCTCAACCCATTGTTCTCTTTTCTGTGCCGACATCTTCCAATTTGTTTTGGGTTCTAGGTAGGAACGCAGCGCCTTCGTCAACGCCGTGGCACACAAGCGGAATCCGCACACCTGATACATATCTGTCATCAAGCCAACGTATTTCAAAAGCTTGTCTGTGTCCACCTGGCTGCCTTGCATTCTCTCTTTGTATACAATGGAATTGGGTTTCGCCAAGTGTTTTCGCAACGCTGCCTTCAAGCGACGCACATCGCCGCCGCCTCGGGGACGAGAACGAGAAATCGCAGCTGTTTTTTTGCCACTGCTTTCACCAGTTGGGCCAGAATACCTGCGGACGACACAAACACCAAACACTACACACACACGTCCGCTGTCCAGAAATTATCCCAAGATAAATCCCAGGTGCCATGCAAGTTTTCCCTCTACTGTCGTGGAGAATTAATGTGGAATCAGGACATGTATCGACATGTGACGCTTTGTAGCAATGTTGAGAATCCCGCGCGCCCTGAATTTCAAGGCACAGGCGCGTCGAACGACCGAAACAACAACAATTTCACAAACAAAAGCGGGAAACACGAACGCGATGAGGTCCTCCAGCTCTGTTTGAGAGCGCATCAGCGTGCAAAAATACTACCACATGCCAGATATACTACGTTAATTCGGCTTGATGATTCTTGCATGCGATTTAAGCACCGCGGCCGCGCCGCGGCGATGGTGCTTAATTTAAGCACCGCAACTTGATGGTGCTTAAAGTAAGCACCATCTACCCTCAGGGTAGTAGGCGTAGTACTAGAAACTGGAACAGTAGCAGTAGTAGAAGTAGAGGTAGTAGTCGTGGTAGTAGTAGTAGTAGTCGTCGTAGTAGTAGTAGTAGTAGTAGTAGTAGTAGTAGTATAGTAGTAGTAGTAGTAGTAGTAGTAGTAGTAGTGAAAGTGGTAGCAGTAAAAGTAGTAGTAGTAGTCGTAGTAGTAGTAGTAGTAGTAGTCGTAGTAGTAGTAGTAGTAGTAGTAGTAGTAGTAGTAGTACGACCACAAATTAGTCGCCGTAGCAGTCGCAACGGTCTTAAGTATAGTAGTAGTAGCAGGGGTAGTAGTAGTAGTAGTAATAGTAGTAGTAGTCGTAGCAGTAGTAGTAGTAGTAGTAGTAGTAGTAGTAGTAGTAGTAGTAATAGTAGTAATAGTAAACGCAAACGCCCCGGTCGCAATCGCCGTAGTACCAAAAAGAGCAAGACGTAGTAGTAGGAGTGTAACGAATAGTACTAGTAAAAGTAGTAGTTGTAATAGTAGTTGTAGTAGTAGTAGTAGTCGTAGTAGTAGTAGTAGTGGTAGTAAACGCAATGCTGCTCGTAGTAGTAGTAGTAGTAGTAGTAGTAGCCGTAGTAGTCGTAGTAGTAGTCGTAGTAGTAGTAGTAGTAGTAGTAGTAGTAGTAGTCGTAGTAGTAGTGGAAGTGGTACTAGTAGTAGTAGTATTAGTAGTAGTAGTAGTAGTAGTAGTAGTAGTAGTAGTAGTAGTAGTAGTGGTAGTAGCAGTAGCCGTAGAAATTAAAGAAGACATACAAGCAGAAAAAGTAGTAGCAGTAGGCATAGTAGTTGTTATGGTTGAAGTAGTAGTAGGAGAACTAGAAGCAGCCGCAGTCGCAGGGGGAGTAGCAGTCGCAATAATAGTCGTGGTCGTCGTTCTCGTAGTTGCAGTACTAGAAGCAGCCGTGGTAGTAGTCGTAGTAGTAGTAGTAGTAGTAGTAGTAGTAGTAGTACTAGTAGTAGTAGTAGTAGTAGTAGTAGTAGCGGTGACCGTAGTAGTAATATCAGTACCAGAAGTCGTGGGACTGATTGTCATAGTAATAGTAGTAGTTGTTGTGCTACTAGTAGTGGTGATAATGGTAGAAGTAGAAATAATAGTAATCGGGGTAGTAGTATGGGGCACACATAATAATAAAAATGATCGTAGGTGATAATAATACTAGGTGTAGTAATAGTATCAGTCGTAGAAGAAGTAGTATTACTAATCGCAGCTGTAATAATAGTCGTAGTCGTAGTAGTGGCAGTAGTACTATTGGTCGTCGTAGTCGTAACTCTAAACGTAGTAATAGAAACAGTACTAGTAGTAATCGTAGTCGTAGTCGTACTAGTAGAAATAATGGTAGTTCAAGTAGTAGTAGTAGTAGTAGTAGTAGTAGTAGTAGTAGTAGTAGTAGTAGTAGTAATAGTAGTAGTACGCGTCGTATGAAACGTGATCGTCGTAGTAGACGTAGTGCAAGTGCTGGTAGTAATGGGAGAAGTACTGGTAGTAGTAGTCGTAGTAGTGTAATCGTAGTAGTAGTAGTAGTAGTAGTAGTAGTAGTAGCACTGGTAGTAGTAGTAGTAGTAGTAGTAGTAATAATAGTAGTAGTAGTAGTAGTAGTAGTCGTAATAGTAATAGTAGTAGTAATAGTAATGGTAATAGTAGCAGTATTAGTAGCAATAGTAATATTAGTAGTAGTAGTAGTAGTAGCAGTGGTAGTTGTCCTAGTTCAGTCGTGGTCGTAGTCGTAGTAGTAGTAGTAGCAATAGTAGTTGTAGTAGTCGTAGTCGTAGTCGTAGTAGTAGTAGTAGTAGTCGTAGTAGTAGCAGTAGTAGTAGTAGTAGTAGTACCAGCAGTGGTAGTAGAAGTGGTCGTAGCAGTACTGGAAAAGAGTGGTAGTTGGATTATTCATCTTTTCCGTAGTCGTTCTAGTAGTAGTAATAATAAGAATAGCCGTAGCCGTAGTAGTCGTTGTAGTCGTACGAGAAGTAGTAGTAGTAGTAGTAGTAGTAGTAGTAGTAGTAGTGGTAGTAGTAACAGTGGTAGTAGTAATAGTAATAGTAGCAGTAGTAACCGTAGTAGTAGTAGTAGTAGTAGTAGTAGTAGAAGTAGTAGTAGTAGTAGTAGTAGTAGTGGTAGTGGTGGTCGTAGTAGTAGCGGTGGTAGTCGTGGTAGTAGCCATAGTAAAACTAGTAGGGGTAGTAGTAGTAGTAGTAGTAGTAGTAGTAAGTCGTAGTAGTAGTAGTAGGAGGTTGTAATAGTAGTAGTAAAAAGAATCGTAGTAGTCGTAGTCGCAACCGTAGTAGTCGAAATCGTAGCAGTCGTAGTAGCAGTAGTACTAATAGTAGTAGTAGTAGTAGCACTAGTAGTAGTAGTAGTAGTAGTAGTAGTAGTAGTACTAGTAGTAGTAGTAGTAGTAGTAGTAGTAGTAGTAGTAGTAGTAGTAGTAGTAGTAGTAGTAGTAGTAGTAGTAGTAGTAGTAGTAGTACTAATAGTAGTAGAAGTATTAGTGATATTATTATTATTATATTATTATTCGTAGTAGTAGTAGTAGTTGTAGTAGTAGTAGTAGTAGTAGTAGTGGTAGTAGTAATAGTAGTCGCAGTCGTAGTAGTAGTAGTAGTAGTAGTAGTAGTAGTAGTAGTAGTAGTAGTAGTAGTCGTAGCAGCAGCATCAGTAGTAGTAGTAGTAGTAGTAGTAGTAGTAGTAGTAGTGGTAGTAGTGGTAGTAATAGTCGTGGTAGTAGTAGTGGTAGTAGTAGTAGTAGTAGTAGCGATCATACTAGTAGCCGTCGTAGTGGTAGTAGTTCTAGTCGTACTACTACTAGTAGTAGTAGTACTAGTAGCAGCAGCAGCAGTAGTAGTAGTAGTAGTAGTAGTAGTAGTAGTAGTAGTAGTAGTAGTAGTAGTAGTAGTAGTAGTAGTGGTAGTGGTGGTAGTGGTAGTGGTAGTGGTAGTAGTAGTATTATTTTTAGTAGTAGTAGTAGCAGTAGTAGTAGATGTAGTAGTAGTAGTAGTAGTAGTAGTAGTAGTAGTAGTAGTAGTAGTAGTAGTAGTAGTAGTGGTGGTAGTAATAATAGTAGTAGCAGTATTAGTAGTGGTAGTAGTCGTAGTAGTAGTAGGAGGAGGGGGAGGAGAAGTGGCAGTGGTAGTGGTAGTCGTAGTAGCTGTACTCGTGCCCTCGTTACTAGTACTCTTGTGAAAGTCGTAGTGGCATGAGAAGCACGGTGATACGAATTGAGAAGAGAAGGCAAGAGGACGACGAAGAACAAGTGATCAGGGCTAACGGTATGAGGAAGCCACAGGACGACGAGCTCGACATGCGGCTTATCTGGGCACGGCGCGCGCCCACCTGGAAAGTAGCGCGGGCCTCGCCAGACGCCAAGCCCAATTCCACCTCGCGGAGCGTCCCGGGGAACACGCGAGAGGGGACACCACCACTGCGCAAGGCATGGGCAGGCAGGGCAGAACCACGGGGAACACGCGCCCTGAGATCCGACGTTGCGGACACTTGGCGCAGCTCGAAAAATCACGGCCAGAGCCCTGGACGGGCACTGCCTGAGCCAGGTCGATCTGTGATGGTCCTGGGGCCCGAAGGGCCAGGCGAAAACGCCCAGCGTGACAGGCATGCAACGCCCAGATCTCAGGACGGGTACGGGGATCCAGAAGGGTCCAGCCATCGTGCTGCCACACGGAGGAGGAGGAGGAGGAGGAGGAGGAGGAGGAGGAGGAGGAGGGAATGTCGCATGAGGAGCGCAGGGACCACGAGAAGGCCCCCCGACGTGGAGCGGGCCGCAGGCCAGTGCCCCTCCTGGGCAAACAAGGGGCCCTTACTTCAGCGTCTTGACTGCAGCAGGGGCATCAGGAGCGCTGGGAGCACTCGGGGGAGGAGGGGGGGGGCAAGTCGGGGCAAGACGAGTGAACGAAGCGGAGGGGGGAAGGTTCGGGCACGAGTGGGGAGGGGCAAGCAGGGAAAGTATATCAGGGCAAGATCTCACCTCTGACAGCGCAACGAACATACTGAACAACTAGTGTACGCTAGAGGTGATCCAGACAGCCGGCTGGTGACCAACATTGCCAAGCGGACATGCTATCATATTCGTTCGGGTCAGCTCGTTGGCAGGAAGACTCGTGCGAGGGTAAGAAGGAGGAGAATCTGGGACGGAGTGTTGAGGAGCAGGATGGTACAGTCGGGGCGTTGGCCTAAGGAACCCTGAGTAGGAACGAGGCCCCTTTTTCCCATAAGTTAACCTTCGATTTCCCATGGGAGACCCTGAGGCAAACTGTTGCACAATCAAGGAACACCGAGCCCCTCCCCAACGGAAAGGGTTCCTTCTTCAGCACCCCGACTGTAGTGCTGCAGGATCAGCAGCGGACCCAGCTTCGGAGCCGAGGCGGGCCCTCCTCCACCCGCCCCCCTCGACGGTGACGGCCCAATTTCCGGGCCTGAGGGTTGTGGCGTCGCGCGGAGGGGTACGCCGACCCCGCAAAGGGGGGAATGATGGGGGGGGGCCTCAAGTGAAAGGATGGGGGGGCAATGCGGGGAAGGGCAGGAGGGGATGAGGAGGGCGATGAGGACACGAGAAAGGGAAACGGGGCAATGAAGGTGCTGATAGGTGGCGTGGAGGGGAGTCGGGGGATATAGATTGGGTGCTGCGGGTGCTTCCCAGGGATGGGGGGCGGAGGGTAGCAATGGGGGAAGGGGGATGGAGGCGGTGGCAAAGCGGAGGGGGGGGACAACGTGTGGAGGTGAAGGGAGGGGCAAATGTGAGAGAGGTCGAATCGGAAGAGGTCAGAACCGAGAGGAGGGCGAGAGGGTGGAGAGCAGAGAGAATAATTGGTAAGGGTGAGCATCTAACTATCTATGTCTGTATATATATATAGATATAAAACATATACACATATCTCTGTTGTATAAGGACGTGCACATGTTCCACATAATTGCTGGGATGGGGGCGAAATAATGGTCGGTGGCTGTCCGCGGACAACCGCGGCGGAGCGTCTTTACGAACGGGACCGGCGGGGCTGGAGCAGGTGACAAGCGCCAGGACAGGGGTGAAAAGGACGTGCATGCGAAGGACGGCGAGGGTGGGGGGAGGCTTTGAGTAGGAGATCGGGGACCGATTTCTTTCTGACTTATCCCAACGTTGATGTTGAGCCGAAGGTATTAAGAATAAGTAGAATGCTCAGTTTGTCGACGGAACATGCTACGTATTGCTCGTAGACTCGACGAGCAACAGCAGATTGTGGGGTACATGAATTCTGTAGTCGATCTCCTACTCGAAGAGCGGGGGCGGGGTGCGCATGCGGGAGCAGCGGTGAGAGGATAGAAAAGGGAGGATGGACAAGGGGCGAGAGTCTCAGCGCAAAGGATGTGGGAGAGCACGACGTGGGGGGGGGGAGCCCCACTCCCCTCACCTCCCCCTCCTTCCCCTTCGCCTCCGTCTCCTCCACCTACTTCTCCTCCTCCTCCCTCTCTCCTTCCAGCCTCGCCTCCTCTCCTCCCCCCTGCTTCTGCCCCCTCCTCCTGCCTGTCCCCTCTCTTCCTCGCTCTCATCTCCTCTACTGTCCCCCCTGATCCTCCCTCTCCTTTTGGCCCCTCCTCCCCCACCTCCTCGCACGTAACTCGGAATCAAATTCGTCAGTCGCCAGTCTCTGTCTGCCGGAACAACTGCCCGTCTTGCTGACATCTACAGAAGCGTGCGAGGCAAATGGCAACGCCGAACATTCCGGACAGGAGCCTTTGCTCAACTTGTGAGCGGACCGTGTGCCGTGCCTCCCCGCCTCGAGGGGCAGAAGGCTGGGCTAGGCTGGGGACGTGGACGCTCGGGGGCCAGGACGTGATCAACGTGTTGCGCCGAGGCGTGTTGGGCCAGGACTGGCGGAGCGATACGCTAATCCAAAGCTTCTGGCCGTACACGCGTATGCGTGGTGACGCTGCCATATCTCATCATCTGTAGGAGGTCAAGCCAGCTCGAATTTCTTGTCAAGGCGGGCCAAGGTACGGGGCAAGGCGGGCCCGATCGCCTGCCACACCAGGGGCAGCTCATCTAGCGGGCCAGGGGTCAAATTTCCCTTGCCCCTTCCCTTTCCCCTTTCCTCTTCCTCCAAGCCTCCTCTGCCACCCGTCCTCTCCCCCTACCACTCCTCCTACCACTTCTCCCTCACCTCCTCTTCTTCGGCTTCCCCCCACCTCCTCGTCCTCCTCCCCCTCCTCCTCTACCATCCTGTGGTGTCGGGCCTTCGTTTTGAAGAAACAACGCCCCCCGTCTACTTCCCTCCCGCTGCCCTCCCGTCCCATCCCTGCCTCAGCCGTCCGCACATCCATGTCGGCACACCCTTCGCACGTTTCGTGGCCCCATATGGAGCTCCACCGAAGGCCCTGTGAGAGGGTCCAGATGCGGTTTCCCGCCCTTTTCTGCACAGCCCGCAAACGTTTTGTGGCCCCATAGGGGATCCACCGGAGGCACCAGTGGGATGGTTCACATGCGGCTCCACGCCCATTTCGACACATCCCTCAAACGTTTCGTGGCCCCATGGGGAACGCCCCCGGGAACCCCACTTGCAGGGTCCACGTACGGCTCCCCGATCATGTCGGCACACTCCTCGTACTGCTCGTGGCCTCACAGGGAGCTCCACCGAAGGCCCCACTGGGAGGTCCACATGCTGCTCCCCGCCCATTTCGGCACACCCTCACGCGTTTCGTGGCCCCATAGGGAACGCCACCGACGGCGATTCTCACGGCTGCGTTACCCAGACTACTTCCCCGACCGTCCTGTGGTGTTGGGCCCTCGTTTTGAATCCACGGCGCTCCGCCTCCTCGTCCCCGTCCTCGTCCTCCTGCATCCGCTCTCCGCATCTCTCTGCTGTGGCACACCGAGATGAGCGCTACAAACAACCGAAACGGTTCTCTGCTCATACCATTTGGAAGCCTCCAGAGCAAACGGTCCCTTTTTCCAGCGGCGATGATCTTGGCAAAACTCTGGTCACGTCTTGCTCTCAGGCTAAAAAAAAAGGCATAACTTGAAACTCTCATCTCCAAAAGTCCCCAACGTCTCCCATCTCCCAAACTCCCATCTCCCAAAGTCTCACCGAATTTCCCCATAGAGACAGGACAACGGGGGCGAACCTCATTCTTGGGTCAATGGCGACAAGATCGGATTCAGTCTCCCAGGCGGTCGAAAAAAACCCACGGCCTAGACTGGCTGCGGACGGGCACATGAAAAAATCGGGCAAGGCAGCGCCAGCACGGCCGCCGCGAGCTTCTCTGCCCGCGCGTCGGCCCTGGTAGTCTCCGGCGCAGAAGGGGAGAGAAGGTATGGCAAAATCGAATCGAAAATGATGTCCAGGGCGCCCTGAAGGCCAAGGACTCCGCAGCTCTGGAAGAGTTGAAGAGGCTCGGCAACCCGTGAACAGGTCAGCAATGAAAAACCTCTTTCTCATGTGGGCGTGGCGAAAATGGCCGGCCGTTCGGCCTCCACGGTATCCCGCGCTGAGAAGATTCACCAGAGAGGCATCCGTACGTCGTGCGGGCGGCCAGTCAGGATTTCGGCGGACTGCTTCTCTGCCATCTCGCACGTCATACAGTTACCAGGTTGAAGCATAGCCCTATCCTGGTGCTTGGCATCACCTCATCCCGATGCCGATCTCAAGGACGCCCGCAGTTTCTGAGGGCACATCCCAAAGATAACCCTAGCTTTTTGCTCGCCCATCTTAGGGATAGGGATCAGTTCGAGGCTGGTTATATCGGCGGCGGCCAAGAGGGGGCGTCCAAGAAGGGGGGGTGCAGATCATGGCTGGCGGCATGTGTGCGGCCCCAGGGGGGGGGCCGGGACCGTAATGAAATCAGAAGAGGCGCCATGAGGTCTGGGGAAATATCATGGCCCCCGTCATGATATCCAACCCCCCCTAGTCATCCCCCCCCTCTGTGCCGCCCCCGATTATATGGAGCCCTGGGCTCGGTGGAGCCTGGCGCTCTCGCTTGCCAGGCGCCCGCTGTGCTCGTGCCGGTGCGTGGACTCGGCCCCCCGGGACCACTCGCCTCGCGGCTGGGAGGCGGTCGGGTCGCGCCAGCCCTTCGCGAGGTTTAGGTCGGGCATGTCCCCCTACAGGCGGTTTTTGGAGGAAAAAAAGAAGACCCGAAAATATTCAAACATGGTTCAAATACTAAAAAATCGTCCCAGACTAATCTTTGACTATTTTTGAACATTCCTTCTGTAGAGGGACATTCCCGACTTCACGCATGGTCTATGCTGGCCCCCGAATGTTTCATCTGATGCAGCGTCGCGGGCCCCAGCTTCACCTCGGACCTGCCTCCTTCAGTAAGGTGGCTGTCGCTGGGTAGTCAAAACTCCATGGGGGAGCGTCGACGTCGGCGTGCTGAGACATGAGGATGCCGCGTCCAAGTCCTGGAGGCAGGGGGGGACAATAAGCAGCCCTCATCGAAGTAGCCCCGCTTGCTCGGCTTCCCATCCTCCCGAGGGTGAGTCAGCGGAGAACAGTGGCGGTTGGCCCTCTTGGCAGGCGCCGCGAAGTCGCGCCGTCGAGTTGCCAGCAATGAAGGGGCCGCGAATGGGCAGATGTGCCGATTGTCACGAAAACCGCATGCCGCAGGTGGCCCGTATACGCCAGCCTCAACACCAGCCCACACCAGACCGCAAGGGCGGAGGCCTTGTGCTGGCGCCCACGCGCGGGCCTGCGCCAGGCTTCCAGCGACCGCCAGGCGTGGGGCAGCTTTCGGCCACCGACGCGCCCGAAGTCTGGATTGGCGTGCGCCTGGGCGGCTCCAGTCTGGTCGCCCAGGCTGCTCTGCTTTCCCTTCATGTAGCGCTTGCTGAGGCAGCTGCAGAGGAGCGCGTCCACCTCCGAGTCCGCTTCGGAATAGTCTGCTTCGACGTTGGGCCGGCATCGGAGCAGACGCGAACGAGGTATCGCTGGTGAGTGCCTCTTCTCGTGGGCCGCGGTCACGGCCAGCGTCTCCAGGAGCGTCGCGCCCGCGTCCTGGGCCGTCTGAACTGCGACGTTGGAGCTTCGCCCGGCGACGGGCCCTCCGCTGTCTGAGCTGTCGCATCCTGCGGCGTGTCCTCCCCGACTGCGCCACGATCGAGTCCGAGCCGTTGGAACCGCTGTCGCCCTCGTCGTTCTCCCCAGCGTCTCCAACGAGATCGCGCTCTTGAGCGTTGGCGTCGTCGAGCGCCGCCTGGTGCCGCCTGCCCTGAACAGTCAGCCTGGTTGCTCTCGGCCCTGGCGTGGCCGGCGCTGTCCTCGACATCGCCGGGGCGATGGCTGCCGCGGCCAATGGGCTTGTGGCTGCTGTCTCACTGTCGGGCATCGTCAGCGCCTGTCTCCTCTTCAGAGCCATCGACGCACGCAGCAAATGAGCATGGGTCCTCGGCAATCGAAGACACATGGTTGGCTACCCGCTCTGAGCCCACATGATCATTGAGGCCACGCAGAAATAGAATATGCCTTGGGGCCCGCTCTAGGAGGGCGGTCGCTGGAATCTGCTGTTAACCTGCACTCGTCATCTAGAAGAGAGGTTGGAATTCTCGAGCCTCTTTCTGAACCAACCCCTTGCCCTCACCGCTTTCGTTAAACTCAGCGGGGATCCCGTGAATCGCGGGCGGGAGCCCCAGGACCGTAGCACACGTGCACAGAACCGACGGACCTGAATCGACACATTGAAGCAAGACACGCGGACTCCAGCAAACGAGAGCACTACTGACATGCCATCTGAAAGAAGAGGCTGCCTAACACACGCCCCGTGTAGGGGACATGGCGAGACGCTGCATTGCCTTGGCCAGGGCCCTAGCTTCCAGAATGAGAATGTCTTCAGGGAGCCTCCAGACACCCGACCGAACGGACTCCCGGGCCCCCTTGCGGAGCCAATGCCGGGGAACCTCATCGATCGAAAGCAAGGTCCGTCTCCCACGCGGGAAATTGCTCAGTTGCGAGATCGCTTGGGTGTTTTTCATCACATCCACAGAACTGCACAACGCACCCACCTCGTCAAAAGAGAGGTCGGCGGCCGCGCCAGGGCGCTGACCTCGACCGAAAGACGGAGTGACCGGAGTGGCCGTGCCTCCGACTGCGGGCGCCGGGCCAGCGAGTGGCGACAGGGCGTCCAGCAGCACATCCGTCCTGCGAAGGGCCCAGGTCGCAATCGAACCAGGCTCAATGCGCACCAGCCGAGCCCAGCCGCCGTCGACCTTCGCCAAGCCCTGGTCGCCGTCGCGGATCATGCCGGCCGGCAAGGGGCCGACCACGCTCCCGACTGGCAGGTTGGACAGTGGCTCTGCCAGCACCCACGGCAGCCAGACGCCGTCAGCCACTCGCCACGGGAGCTTCTGACTGCTCGGCACCGCCATGCTATTCTCCATCAGCACGTCGCTATGCTCCTCCGTCTCGGCTTGACGTCGATGGACCATCTCGTCCTGGCAGTTAGAGGCCTCATCCACTAGATCGTCGAATTTTTCAGCGCAGTTTAGGAGAGGAGTAGAGGGAGCAGACTCGCATACTCAAGAACACGATGACAAGTTCGGCTACTCAGGCATGAAGTCTGTAAGTTACTTCAAACGCCGTGCACGTGAGGAGTCCAGCCATGCAGACGAGCTGTCTTGCAAACAATGGCGTACTTAGACAGTCACCGCCGTCCAGGCACAATGAAGCCCTATCGATCTTGAAATCGTAAACTCTTCGGCCGACCTCGGGCGGCAACCGTGGATTACCATACAGTTTCGTCGCCGAATACGAAGAGGCAGGACGAGCAGGAGGGAAGCGCAGAAGGAAAGAGAGAGAGACAGGAAGAGTGCACGGAACATCCATGCTCAGAAAACCAGCGCATGCGTACACCTTTCTAGGAACCCTCCCACGGTACTCGCACAATTTGCCCACACGGGAAAAACAAGCACGGTAGACGGAGGATGGAAGAGCCGGCTGGTTGAAACAAATGGCGGACAAGGCGAAGACACGCTCACAGCCAGGAGGCTCCGCGAATCGACATGCCCAGCGCGCTACGAGCATAAGCAGTAACGGGTCCGAGGACACCGATGACAAGGCAAGAAATGTTCGCTGTGGTATGGCGACGGGGCTTTAACCAAACAAAGCGGCCGACCAGAGCGGCCGGGCGCCTGCATGGGCGACCGTCGCTAGCCGTGCAAGCCTGGGGTGACAAATAGCGAACGTGGGACCCAGCGCCGAAAAGGCGTGAAGAACAGCTCAATCTACAGCGGAACATGCATGAGGAGGAAGAGGAGGAGCAAAACACACCAATCGAACGACGCCATTGCCAGCAGCGTCTGTGGAACGAGGGCCTTTCCAGCCATGATGGGCAACACTGTAGAGGAGAAGGAGGCAGAGGGAGGCGGCGGGAGGAGAGGGGCAACACCCCCGACGGGCGTCTCGGCCAGCTCGCGGGCCCTCCGCCGGGCCCGAATAAGTGCAACAGGGAGGAACAACATGTTGAAATCAGAGGTCGTTGCCTCGGGCACCTTCCCCGCGGGGGGCCGCAAGCCAGGTGACAACAAAGGACCGCCCCCCGACGAGGACGACGGCGACGAGACGACCGCGACGGCGAGGAGGGGGGCGGGAGACGAAGAGGAGAGGAGAGAGGAGGAGAGGTTGGGCGAAGGTTGAGCGCGAGCGGAAACGATGCAGAACACGGCCGTCAGGAGCGTCTCCAGTCGATGCGTCCGGTCCTGCCTGAGGATTGCGACCGCTCAAGTCCTCCTCCCAGACATCCCCAGCCAACGACAGGACCTAGTTCACAGACGAACTCATCCGGCGGCTTCTGGCGTTCAGGCGACGGCTCGGCCACAGCACCGCCCTCATGTGGTCGTTCGTCTCGCGGAGGTAGAAGACTCGGCCCAGCGCGTCGACTGGGAGGTCAGCGCACCACGCCGCCTCCGCGGGCAACGGGGGCAGGGCCCGCTGGCCCACCAACATCTCGTCGACTCCTGCAGCTCTACCACGCACTAGACCAGCAACGCACGCATGCTCGGAAACACAGCGGAGAGCTGCTCCAGCGTGCGGTCGGGCAACTCAAGGCACGCCATCGTAGGTGGTGGCGGGCATGGCGGGCAGCTGGCGTTCAGCCACAGCTGGGAAGCTCGGAGGGACTCGACGAGCTCCTCCACCACGCGGCCGTCCCGCCAAGGCGGCGGGTCGGCGGCGGCGCCGCCGCCAGCGGCGAGCCCACGGGGAGCCCCCTCTGCCACAGCGCCGCCTGCGAAGCCAGCGACGCGAGGGCGCAGACCACCATCGCCATCGACACCCGCGGAGCCACGGCCATGCGGTGATGGTCCTGAGGCCGGAAGACACTTCCAGAAGAAACATGGCAGCAAGGTTGAAGACGGTGTCGGCTCCAAACTCAGACACCGTCTCGATGACATCGCTTTGCGGTCCCTCTGATGATACCGATCTGAAGCGTCCATGGTCCGTATGCTTGACCACGCCAAGTCTGGCACACTCCTCACACGCTTCGCGGCCTGTGTGCCTGACCGCGCCCATTCTGGTACCCTCACACCTTTCGTGGCCCTGCAAGAGCTCCACAGAAGGCCCAAACGGCATGACCAACATGTCTGACCACGCCTATTCCGACGCCTCCCTCGTGCGCTTCGTGGCATACACGAGCTCCACGAAGGCCCACGTGGCAGGGCCCATCTGCCTGGCCACGCCCATTATGGCACGCCCCTCGCGCGCTTCGCAGCCTCGTGTGAGACCCACACGAGGCCCAATTGGCAAATTCGTAGACCTGGCCATGCCCTCTCTGGCGCACACACACACACACACACACCTCACACTTTCCGTGGCCACGCCCAGTTCGCTCGCACCTGCCACGCGTTCCACCACCCACAGAGCTCAACCTCAAACCCCGGTGGGTGCGTCCACATGCGGCCACCGCCCTTTTTCGCTCGCCACTGCCACGCTTTTAAGCCCCACATGGAGCTCCGCTCGCCCCTGCAACGCTTCTCGGGTCCCATAGGGAGCTCCAGTTGCGGTGACCGCATGGCGGCCTCGCGCCAATTTCGCCTGCACCTGCCACGTTCTTGAACCATGACGGACCTCCACTTCGCCCGCCCCTGTCACGTTTCTAGCCCCACATATGAAGCTCCACCTAAGGCTCACATGGTCCATATGGTGATGTTTGTGTGGTGTACCCCCCACCTCGCCTACCCCTGCAACTGTTTGAAGCCCCCACAGGGAGCCTCACCTGACTGCCCCAGTAGTGGGGTTTGCATGACGCTTCCCCCGCCCCGCTCCCTTATTTGGCGCCCCCCTCGCGAGAACCGTTGCACCTTAAGGAGCTCCACTTCCGGTCTCAGTTGCAGGGTTCCCCTGGCGGCCTCCCCCCATCCGGGGCCCCCCCGACGAGGACCTTCGCCTAATAAGTTCCCGACCCACAACTCCAGTGGCAGGGTTCGCACGCCCCCCACCCCCCTCCCCCTCCTCCTCCTCCGCCTCCTCCTCCTCCTGCTGCTGCTCCTCCTCCTCCTCCTCCTACTCCTCCTCCTCCTCCTCCAGCCGCCGCCTCTGCCCGAGCCCTTTTGCAGGCGGTGCCAGCACCGAACCGCGGGCAGCAGAGGGGGGCGCACAGCTCAGCCATGGGAGCTGAGCCCCATGACCGAGGATGCTACGAATGATCGGATGGAACCCACAATCGGCCACGGGTATGAGGCTCGAAGAGATAATCACAGTATGTGTTGCGCTTGATGTGATACTCCTAGCAGGAACCCAATCAGGCAGTCGACGAGCGCTGGCCCCTCTCCAACGACAACTGGCTGGAAGGTCAGTCGTGGAAGCAGAGTACAGCCCAGGGCAGCTGA